GTGCCTTCCCCCGGCAGCGGGTGCTGCCATTCCCACCGTCCCCCATCCTGCGGCCGCTGGGCCCCCCTGACTGCGGGCAGACTGCCTGTGATAACGTGGAGCTGGTCTCCCACTACAACCGGCACTGGCCATTGCGGAGTGGGAAGGTGGTGCGTTACCGGGTGGTGAACCTGGCGGAGGACGGCGGTGGGCGGCCAACAGTCAGCTGGGAGCAGGTTTGGCGGCAACACCGGGCACTGAGCGAAGCTTTCCGGCCGTACAACATCTCCTGGCAGCTGAGCTTGCTGGAGGTACGGAACTCCTCGCTGCGCCGCCGCGCTGTCCTCCTGGGCTGCGAGCCCAGCAAGGTGGGCAATGAGCGCTGTGACCCTGAGTGCGAGCATCCCCTGACTGGCTACGATGGCGGGGACTGCCGCCGGCCTGGCCGCTGCTTCTTCTGGAAACGCCGTGATGGCATCTGCCACATGGAGTGCAACAACATGTTGGACGACTTCGATGATGGTGACTGCTGTGACCCGCGGGCCACTGACGTGGCCAGGACCTGCTTCGACCCCGACTCACCCCAGCGGTAGGTGCGGGACTTATGGGGGTGGTGGCATGTCAAAGGGTGGGGTGCACCCTCTCCCTGAGACCCACTCTGCACCTGGATGTTGCTTCTGACCAGCCGTTTTCCAATGTGGGAAGGTGGAAGGGTGTTTTCCCATGGGGATGGGTGTGTTGTGCCATCCAGGGCAAGTAAATCCCACAGCATGGGATGGCACCCATCTGCGATCCCCTGCCATTAAGTGTTTTTTCCCCCAAAAATGAGTGGGGGGTGATAGGCAACTCCCTGCTGGAGGAATTGCCAGTGCAGAGCTGCCGGTCTCCAGTGACACGCCAGTGGGACTGTGGGCACCCTGGGGTGGGCAGAGCGGCCCCACGCAAAGGGTGCGGTGTCCCCTGACCTGCTGCATGGAATGCAGTGGGCGTATTGCTGCCCCTTTCCCATCTTCCCTGGAAGCATCTAAAAGCCTGATTTATTAATTTCTGTTCAAAATGCCTTTGCCTGAGCACTGTGGTGGGAAGGAGGCGATGCTGCTAGGTATGAGTGGCAGGATTTGGAAAGGTGTGGGTTGGCATGCATGAGCCTCCCTGAATCTTGCCCTAGGGAGCAATGCCTGTGAGGAGATGCCCTTGGCTGTGCACGGGCAGGGGCTGATCAAACCCTGCACCTCAAAGACAAATGGTGGTTGGGGAGCAAATCCCCCTCTTCAGGCCAAGACACGGGGTGGCTGCTCAGTGCCGGAGGAGGATGTGTACCTTTACCATGTGCTGCAGGTGCAAAATGCCCTGCAAGCCCCACGTTGTTCTGTGGAGCATCAATGCGTGGTGTTAGGGGACCTCTGTTCTCCCCGGGGGACCTTTGGAGGCAGCAGCTGTGATGGGATGGAGAGGGGGACCCCCTCCCCATGTGATGGGGGACCCTGGGGCAGTGGGGACAGTATCCTCAGCGCAGTCAGTGGCTTGCGCATGCCTGCCCTCCTCCTGGAGCCTCTGAAGTGCCGGCAGCCCTGCTGATGGCTTCCAGTGCTCAGGGCTCTGCCAAATGTGCTTTCTGGCTGGAGACGGGGAAGGGAAAAAAAAGTCATGGCTTTTCCTTTGTTGTTTTTTTTTTTTTTTTTAAGCTGTTTCTGTCTCAGTGTCAGAGAAAATTGCTCATTCCCTGCTGCCAGCTCCCAGTGATGGGTAGAGGTGCCCACCAGGGCGGGAGCAGTGCAGTGTGGATGGCAGCCTTGGGGAGAAAAGCTGCAATGGAGGGTGTTAGAGACACGTTGCTCCTTTGATCATCTTCTTTCTCCTTCACTTTTTTCCCCTGAGCTGTGGAAGCAGGTAGGCTGTGGCCATAAATCCTTTTTTAGCAAACCTGCTGCTTCTTTCTGCCACTTCCCAGGTAGGGCATGGAGGGAGGAGGGAAGCAGACATCTCTGGCTTGGGTGGTGGCAATGGGAGAGGAGCAGGGCTTCTCTTCCTGCCTTCCTTGAGCCTTTCTCACACATACTTCAGTTGTCCGAGAAAACACGAGAGGAGGACGGGGAGCCTTTCTTCCAGTGCACCCCTCTGTCTGCAGAGCTGCACACCCTGCCTCTGCCTGAGCATGCCCCCAGAAGATGTTTTCCCACCCCTGGAAGTCTCTTTGGTCACAGCCACCACTGCCACCCTGTGCCTGCCTGTCCCTTTGTTTCCCATCCCCGTCAGGGAGCAGGGGCAGGGCTTTCCTGAGCATGGGGGAGATGAGCGGCCCTCCTGCCTGCACAGCAGCTCTCCTACCTGCACGACGCCTGCCCTGCCTGTGCGACGGGTCTCCGCTCATGGTGGCCATGAGCATCCAATGCCACTCGGCCTTGGCGCCAGCAGGGCAAAGGCTCGGTCCTTGCCCTCTGTGTGCAGTTAGCGAAATGTTTTCATCCTCAGACAAGAAGGGCTCCACCTTAAATTAAAAAAGGCCAAATTTTTGCTGGTATGAATCAGGGCTTCCATTTGTCAGGATTTTCCCCTGAAAGTTGGGAAAGAAAAAAAACAAAACAAAACCAAACAAAAACCTTGCTTCTGTGGGAAAGGAATGGGAAAATGGGAACACTAGGGAAATAACAAATCTTTTGCAATTTTCTTTCCGCAGACCTCATTGGCCTGCGCAGAAGACAAGATTGATTGTTCGTAGGCTAAGCTCTGAAAAACGAAATCCAGTGCGCCTGGCATTTGGGAAATGTGGGGGCATGAGTTGAATCCTGCTGCTGCTGAGCTCTTCTGAGCTGCCCTTCTTCGGAGATGCTGGTGGACACCCCCCCTGCCAGGGCTCATCCCTGCTGAGGGGAGCCTGGCTCCTGTGGAAGAACATATAAGTTTGTGGGAACAAATTGGTAGCATGCATTCGGGAAAAAACAAGGCGAGGTTGAGCTTGCCCAAGGGCATGGCCAGGTTGGTGGTTTTTCCCCTGAAGTCAGTGGACAAATACCAAAAATACAGGAGCAGGCAACCTTAGCCCAAGGGGTTTTGTTAGGGCAGAGCTCCCGCCGAGCGAGTACCTCTGGGTTTGCTCGTAAGGTATTATACTTAAATGAACATTTATGAGGAGCAGGGCAGCTGGGAAACTTACAGAAGGATTTTTAGGGGTGGAAGCCAAAACAGGAGAAATAATGCAAAATAAAATTTAACAAACTGCGGAAAGGCGGCACAATAGGAGCCAGGTGCTTCGATGTGAACAGCAGCTCCTGGTCTGTAACCAGAGGAGAGGGAGCAGGCGAGCTGGCTGCTGCTCTGCCTGGACGCCTGCACTTTTCACACCTCCTGTAGAGCCTCGTGCCAGAGCCCGGGAGAGACCTGCAGCTTCTAGGAGAGCTAGGGGGAGAGGGAAACCCTGCTGCAGGCGGTGCTCTCTAAATCTCCGTTCAGATCAAGGTGGTGAGACAAAAATGTTGGGAGCTTTTTTCACAGGGTAAAGCAGCTCTGCTGTGTTTAATTTCAAGGCTCTCGGAAAGACTGGTTTGGATGTGAATGTTTCTTAGTACAACCAAAAATAATCCAAATGAGAACGTCAGAGTGAGACACTGGGCAATTTCTTGTAGATAGATTCAGTCTATTTTGGTGAAGGGTCTCTATACCTTGTCTTGACTCACATGACCTTAAGCACTCATGCAAAAGCTTTTCCCATCTTGGCACTTCCCTCATTTAAAATCTCCTTTCTTTGAGCTGCAGCTTTGAGAAAGGCAAATCAGAGGGAGAAGCCTTAGGAACAGTGGGAGCTCTAGTGCTTTTTAGCTGGTGGACATCTCAGTATGGCCCTCATTATAAGGGCCATGGTTGATGCTAGCATATACCCTCACCCATGCTTAGCAGGGGTGGGAAATGAGGTTTGGAAAGAAGGATTATAAAGCTCTGGTGGCGTTGGACACCGCTGTAGCCAAGATAGGAGCTGCCCCCAGCTCTGAGGTAGGGGATGATGTTGAAACGATGGCAGTGTTGCCATGTGTAATGCCAGGCCAGCAAGCCACCTTGCCGAGTCCTTCCTGCACCTCCTTTAGTAGCGCATGGGACAAGACAAGTCCCACTGTGCTCTGAGCCTGCTAGGCCATCATCCCCCTGTGAAAGCCACCAGTGTGACTGTGTGCTTGGGAAGCAAGTCAGGGACTTCTCATTCACGCTGACCCACCATATGAAGAACAAGGGGACAGGCAACGGCGGGAGAGCTGTCTACTCTTGCCCTGATTTAAAGTGTTTTCCAGGAGTTACTGGCAGTGCAATGCCAGGGTATGGAGCAAAATTTGCCTTGATTTGCTGCAGACACGCATCTTCTTGTAGTGCCTGAGTGCAGTTGTAATTGGTGCTCTTGGAAGGAAAGCAGCAACAGCTCATTAACAGCAATTAACACTCAGTGAGGGTCCCCCTCGGGCAGTTAGTCAATGAGAGTCTGGTGTGTGACACAGTTAATGTGAAAAGAAAAACTGGAGGGGAGTCTGGAGAGCAAAGTGGATAAAGGCAGAGCTGCTGGGCCTTTCATCTCACTACCCAAAGTAAGGGCAGAAATAAGCAAAGTGACAAAAGGACGTGAAAAATGATGAGGCGTGTCTCCAGCCTCTTAGTGGCCTCCACTGGGATGACCACAGCTGTGATATTAAAGTGCACATGATTAACAGGACACTTGATGGGCTTTAATGCAAGCTTAGCTGGCCTCCCGTCCTAAGGGAAGGATGCTTAATTGGGTTAAGGCTGCTTGGCAGCCTCCCACTGTTTAAGCGGTGTCTTCAAAAGCTGATGCAGATTAACCTCACTGAATATCTCTCGTGGACAACCCCCAGGGGTGAACAAATCACTCCGAGCTATTCTCTGGCACCTGAGCAGCCAATTGTCAGGAGATGTTCAGCTGAATGTGGTCGGACTGACAGCATAAATGGTGTAAAATTGAGAGAAGGTGAGGCAAGGATGGCATCTTGGGGCAACAGCTGACCCACTCAGACAGGTGCGGCTGTCCAAGGGACTGTGCAAGGTCTTGGGGACACTGGTCAAAAGCAGAGGGCTTCATACCACAGTGGCTCCTGGTGGAACCAGAGCTCTGTTGTGTAACCCAAGGCAGCAGAGAAGCGGAGCTGGAAGAGGAGCATGAGTGTGTGGAGGTGTCCAGGTCCAAGGGCTGGTTCCCAGTCCCTGGCTTCAGCACTAGCCAAAGCAGCTTGCTCTGTATAGCAAGCTGTGGCATACTGCTGATGTGCTCAAATCTTCTTCCATGAGTTTTGGGGTGCTAAAGGTAGGAAATAAAATCTACAGTAATGCACTCCTTTTCTTCCCAAGGTAGCAGGCTCTGGGGTTAATTTCCAATCAGCCTCTGCTGGAGGACGAGCCTCGCTCACTCCCGCAAGCCTTCCTGCGAGCAGGGAGCTGCCAGGCAGCGTGTTCCTTGAGGATGTTCCCCCAGGGGTGGCCGCGTCTCCACAGGGGAGGGAGAACACGATCTGATCTGTGTGTGAGCAAGGGGAGAGGACCCCTGCCCAGTGACTCGAGGCAGCTGGGGTGCTTTCGGGGAAAACAGCTGTCCCA